TATTCAAATATTTCCATTTTTTTATGAATATATCTAACATTAATTATAACTTTCAACTCTTTTTATTTTATATATAATCTTTTCATGTTTTTTTATATATATTCCTTTGATAAATAGGACGATCGAGACGGGCAACCTTCCTTCCTTCTCCGGCCCCTGGACATGATATTAATTTAAAATTTAATACGTTTTATGATTTTTTATATGACAATGTCTTTACATGTCATGTAAATTGTTTACTACAATCTAAGTACATAATTAAAATTAGATATCAAACTAGTAGTTTATAATAGGTAAAAGACTCAAATAAACAAATAAAAGTAATGAAGATTAAATGTTCAAAGTGGCTTCACACATAAAAAATGTTCAAATTAGTGAAAAGAGGGGGCCATATAATGAAAAATTCACCTAAACTATAGAACATTAGCTGTGAAATTTTTGGACTCACAAATTCCTAAGGTAGGCAAGAGGATCTGGAGGGTCCGAACCTCCGTATATTATGAGGTGAAGGGAAGGGGCACACCGGAAACCTAGCAATAGCAAGAGTAATCTCCACAAACATATTGGATAAAAAAAACATCAATGCTCGTGATGTGATGACTATAGAAGCTTTATGTTCAAATGCATACATTTATATAATATTACGGAACTATTGAGCGAAAGAATCTACAGTTTTTTCACTCTTCTTATCCTGGTGAGAGATGAGTCATAAAAAAACTAAATCGCATAGTATATATTGTGTGACAGTCTGTTCGCAGAAAATAATATCTGAATACAATGTCAAAAATAATAAATAGAGGAGAGAACTTTAAGCATTTTGTTTTAAAGAAGAGCACCGGAGTCAAAGCAACCTTAACAACGTGGTAAGATAATGTGAATCAAGGAACACTAGAAATGTGCATACATGTACAGGTCGTAAACTAAGGATAAAGTAGAGCTAAGAGAAGAAAAAACGAAAAATTAATTCACATGTTGCTAGGCATTCAATTTCCAAATCAGGTAAAACTTCGCTATATAAGATGGTTAGAAACTTCTATTGTTCTATAGTTCTTTTAGTTCAGCAAGAGAGGAGGATTCAAAACCTCCGACTTTTAGAGGTAAGTAATACCTACAATTCTATACTCTATTAAGCTTCTATAGCTATATCTTTTGACATAAAACCAGGCTAACATTTTGGGATAAGAATAACTTCAAGTGTATGAACGCTAAACTTATCCAATTAGGTAAGTTATTTGGAAAACCTCAATTATCATCACATAAAACCTAACTCCCATAAATTTCACAAATAACGCGTTCCAACCCCCAATTGCTGGTTATTTCGCCAAGTGCTTGGCATGATAGGAAGAAAATAAAATAGTGGTAATTATTTAGTCAATGATAAAAATACCAACAAATGATGTCCAATCATACGAAAATATCTCAATTTTAACACATCACTCACCACGTAGCTAGTAATCTAAACAACGCAACTCCGAGTGCATGCCAAAACTAGATTTCTGCTGCAATCACATGACCTACCAGTGTTTCTCTCCTAAAGTTCAAATCGAGTTTAATAAAGATGATCATGTGAAACAAGAAGAAAAATTGTGAGTTAGACTTAGAGCACGCCCCATTGAAACACTGAAGGGACAATCTAGAATGAAGAAAACTTTTAAAGATGACGAGAACATACCTAAAAAGGTAAATTGTACTTCTCAATAAATTATTAGTTTCCAACTACGACCAATGAGATTGCTATTCCATTATCCAGTCCCTTTGGCAAAGCTACATCTTTAATCAAAGATGATGTGAACATCTAAAGCTGCTATCTTCAGTCATTTGCACTTGCACATCTCGCAAATGGCGGAAAAGGTGTGTGTGGGTGGGTGGAGGTGGGGATAGGAAAACAGCCTTCCCTTCCTCGTGTACAAGTTCTTGATGAAGCTCAAGAAAACTTTGATCCGTCCATTTAACAGTCTCAAGTTATGAATTTACTAATCTCACATATAATATTAAGTATAGACTATATAAACCTAGTAATTGGAAACTCATTTTTCTCAAACTATATACTTATTTTCCAAATCATAAACCTACAAATCAAATACATACTAATTTTTACTAATCACACACAACAAATAAAATGATTCCTCCGAAAAAAAAGGAAAAGAAAATCTCTCTCTAAATCAGGAAAGTATTCCTAACATGCATATACTTTGTTTGAATTCTATATTTATCAACTGCCATATAAATAACTATATATATCATGTCGTAGGTTCTAGACAATGACAAACTCAAGTTTTACGAAAAAAAAAAACAAATCAACTTATAATCTAGAGTCCAGGATTCCTACGGCTACGAAGTGACTCTTAGTCAATGGGAGATGGAAATTAGCATTGGAACCATCCAACAGTAGGTACGCAGCTACTTAGGCGATGTTACAGACTTGCAGGCATCGTCTTGGACTCTTGGGAATCGCTCTATAGCTCTTTTCTTTTTCTTCTTTAAACTAGGATGTGTAGATTAACAAGGGTTCAAATGGCAGACCCAAGAGCCTCTTTAACTGAACAATAAGCAATAGTACTAAATATTTTAGAATATGGATCATTTAACTTATGACAAAAATATGGTCTATATTTAAAAATCAAAATTTTGAAGAATTTGTATTCATATCTTACAATCCATTATTATTATTTTTTTTTTTGACAATAGGTCTGCAGCATGCGGCTATACTACATGCATCTACAATTACTTTTAGAGACAACCAATAAAAATAATATTAAACAATTCATTTTCAAAAGTATTCTATATATTAAAATAAAAAATTTTATCTTTTGGCTTTTTAACAAATTTACTCATATTTCATAGGAAGTGTAATAAATAAAGTATTCTAAAACTTGGATCATTTCTTTACTAAAAATTCGTCAAAAAATTATTTATCCAAAATCGGGAGCAATTCATTTATTTAAATAAGGACTTTTGCTCAAACAAAAACACAAAGAAGGAAGGACTTGCCCAAAATTGTCTTTTTTAGAAAGACTAAGTTATGGTAAATTTAGAATTATTTTGAAATAAATATTTATATTCAAAAACAGCCATTTTTATCTCAAAGTTATATAACATATAACCAAAGTGATAATAAATAAGTCTAGCCAGCTATTTGTTAAATTAAAATACAATACTAACTATGTCTAGAAGCTTCTTGAGGTATCTACACAAAATAATTTTCTTTAGATTTATTTTGAAGATTTAAATAAATATCTAAAGAAAATGATCTAGAAATATCTTAACCTTTCCTTAGGGTCCAAGGGATTCTAAATAATTCCTTTAGATAATGATAGATTTTATTTAAAAGTATATAGAATATGTAAGGCTTAAGTAGAAAGATCTTTTTGCTTGGGCTCCAAGACCCTTCTATAAATGAGAGAAATGTCCTACGTGAATCAAGAGAATCAAATGAGTAAAGTGAAGTGAGCGAAGAAAGTGAGCAACGTGAGTGAAGAAAGTCCACATTGTTAAAAAAGTTTTCTAGTGGTAGCACAATAGATACAGCTCATCCTATAATTAAATAAAATTAAGCTTATCCCAACCATAGCTAAATTATCATTGAGAGGATTCAGAGTCGAATGTATATAAAAGCATGTATCCATAACAACTACTCTAATAAGTATAAGGTCAGAGAACCGTATGATACAGCCGTATGAACGTCTCAAGCATGGGAATATGGTTCAAGGCATAAAATAACCGTAAAGGGGGAAAACCGAAGCGATATATAGTATATTATATTATATACGTGATATATTTTTCTATTGCAGATCTAGTTTAACCCTGTAGCAACAATAGTGGGTAATTAAGGGGTTCGGAAGACAAAAAGACCAGGCTATAAAGCAAATTCCAACAACAATCTACATCACCTGCCTGCCACACTGGTGCTACGTGTGACTAATTCAACCAAACAAGTTGTATAGGTCTGTGCACATATCGTAAATTACCAAGTAAAAAACGTTCCAAATTTATGTGAAAGAGCATCACATGGGCAGTAAAACTGTGAATGGGCAGAGTCTTGTTAGGGAAGACTTTAATCCCTTTTTCTGTTTTGTTTGAGATCCGCTTTTATGTCCCAAAAAAAAAAAAAAAGTTTCTGTGAATGGGCTAAAAGCCTAAATCAAACAAAAAGAAAACAAGCCACAAGTCTGTTCAGTAGGTTTCTTCCAAACGCAACGCACACCGTATTTAATCATTGTTACCAACCACCGACCATAAGTCCATACCATTACCACCAGGATCTGAATACTGAATGCGAATACCCGCGAGACAAAATCAGAATTTCTAGTACGGAAAGCGTGTTTACTTTTTACCCCTACAGTCGAATAGGATAAGAAAGAAAAAAGAGGGGAAATGACTAAAAACAAAGAAACTATTTAACCGTGGATGAGAAATCAGTCAATCCCCGGCCAGCCCAGATAACAACATTAAACTTAAAAGGAAAAGGTTCAGGTAACTATAGGCAAGCTTCAGACTCGGGCTCCAGTCGCTGTTCTTTTAAAGTTCCCAAGCTTAAATAATGATGTCCATTGTACAAAAAAGAAAAGACTGAGCAAGCAATAATCACCGGCAAAAACCGCGAGAATCGTGGGCAATCAAAGGCGTGGGTCTCTCTGTACTAGGGTTCGCTGTTTGTTCATGTTTTGTTACCCTCAAGAAACCAGTGTTATTGTTAAGAGTATTTTTGGGGGGTTCTCATTCTCCACTGTCCAAACGTCGATGATTTGCAGAATTGCATTGCGAAAATCAAAAGGAATGCTAGTATAGTAAGTTGGATTAGGAAAACTAAGTGGTGTGGTGGTTGCTTTGCTTAAGCGACAGCATCCTACCCGTTTAGTTGCAAGGTTTTTTAAGTACTGTTTGGGATTCAGATGAAGCAAAATAATAAACGCAGAAAATATGGGAACACCGAATAGGAATTAGTTAAAATAGACAAGTAATCATAGAAAGAAAAGAAAAGAAAGGGGCGAGAGACTGACTGGAAGGGCTTCTGGCGGAGGCACCAGCACAGAGGCTGCTAAGTTGCAGTTCGATGTTGTTCAAGAAGGACGACGCTTCATAAAAAGGCGTTGAAAGATCTGATTTATACTTTACCAGCATCTCACAGTATGTTTCCTATCGATCCGGAGAGAGAGATAAAAAGCTCAGTCAGACTAGAATTATATATATATATATATAGATGATCAATTAGTTAAACATATAATCACGAAGTTTGCGTGTGGGCGAGCGAGGGGGGACCATTACCATGAACTCGTCGAGCTCGGGATCGGCTCCGAAGCACGTGGAAATAGCGTGTTGCTTGTTTTCTCGCCGGATTTCCTCCAACAAGCCAGCTATCTCCGGAGGAGCTCCTACCTGAACCAAAAGAAAATAGAATTCGTTGAATACCGGCTTACTTTCTCAGTATCACCATAAGCCAGATTTACGCTCGCACCAGAAAACCAGTGAAATTCAGAACTACTGCTGATTCTTTCTAGGTTTTATTGAATAAAAAACTAGAGCAATACAAATTGTCAGACGACGCTATTCTATTCTTTTTTTTTTTTTCCGTTTTCCTTTCTTCTTCGGGAAACAAGTCTCGATTCGTGGAAAACCAAAAGGTCGAAGCCTGTAAAATACCGGAAATCGCGAAACAGTTTGGCGTCTACAGACTAGGCTACAAACAATCGACTATTTCACACAGAGCCTGAATTTTAAAATCTAGAACCGGACGTATTCGACTCGGACTAAATCAATTCGAGAGAAACTTTGTGGAAGGGAAAGGACGGGTTCCATCACCTTCTGGCAGTCAATATAAGCGTGAAGCAGACGAGGATAGGTAGGATGAGAGACAATTTTGGCCTTGGCCTTGATGACGCTAAGAACATCTGGTTGGAGCGGAAAAGCTGGAGTGATGGAAGGTGCCTCAGCTTCGGATACGGCGGAGGCAGCCGACGGCAATTCATGGGATCCGAAGATGGGAATCCGATCGCGGAAGCTTGTGGATGAAAGGAAGCTGTGATAGTCGAGGAGATTGTCCGGCGATAAGAACGACTTGGCCGAGTAATCCGCAGTGGAGCGGATGGCGAACATGTCGATATTCTCCTCCATTTCAAGGAAGGATGGAAGAAGAAAAGAAGGCACGGGAATTGGTGAGATGGCGAGACGAAGCATATGGTATGGCAATTTATATTATAAGGACTTCAATTTTATTTGAAATAGTATATCGTGTATTCTGGTTAAGTACCGGAGAAGCAGCTGTTTGTTACGGCCTACGGGCGTGGGAGGAAAAAGATGAGGCAGGGAAATTCCTCCTTTATTTACGGCCACGTCCCATATTTATTTTAATATTAATTACTTATCCAGTCATCGTCCTTCCTCCTTTCGCCCTTCCCACTGCAACATTTCAGCAACCGCCATGCTGTCGTTCCCTGCCATTTACTGCCCTCCCAGTTTCTCATATTCTTTCTTCTTTTTATGAATAATCAATAATATTATTTCAAAAAAAATTTATTATTATTATAATTATAATTATTTCTGCTTCTACTTTCTAAATTTCTAATCATGTTTTTTTCAGTTACAGCCTTACAGGATATATTTTGGAATTTGGTATAATATCTCTGCTACTGCTCTCAACACTAAAGACTGATAGGATGAAAACTTGAGATGTTATTTTCACATAAATATCGATAAAACGTGGATGTCAATAAATATTTATAAAAAAGTAAATTCATATAAAATATTTACATTAAAGAAGAATGCTCTCTCAAAACCTCTTGAATCATTTATTGACCGCTAGGTCATTTATTGAATAACATGAAGGTGGTCACTTTGGAAATATTATGTTTATATTTGTAATATTTTGTTGACATTTTTCATATTTTGTCAATTTTTTTTCTTTTGGGTTAAAACTATAGGAATGTCAGATTACTCCATCGAAGTAATGGACACATGAAAATATCGATAGAAATGTCCACATGTAGACAGATATTTAATATCCTAAGAATAATTTGTAGGCTACTTCAAAATATTACCTACAATTTAAATATGAGGTAAGAATTCAAATCTATAATAGAAAGGATACTCATTGAGTCAAATAGCAAATTATAAAATTTTAATATATATATATATAGATATAGATATAGATAGATAGTCAAATTATAAAATTTTAATATATAGATAGAACTATAGTTATTGTGAATATACAATATTATTCATTTCCTGCTTTTAATTTATTCCCATCTTCTTACCCACTAAATATAGAAAAGGAAAAGTTGAAAATTTTAGTCTAAATGAAAATTTTCTTTTCTTTCTTCTGTGACAAATAATTTATCTTTCATAAACATGAAAAATATATGGGGAAAAGAGAATAATACTTTTAAGCTCTAACTTTTTTTTTTTTTTTTTTTGGGTGAGAACCAAATCCTTTTAACGTTTACCTCCATAAATTTATGTCAATTTGGTAACGTTCATTTTTGGTTTTTCAATTTTAACAAATAAAAAGAATTTTATGATCTCAAGACCATATAAACAATATTTTTTTATTTATTTATGTATTTTGGAACCAATTGAAAACAAAAATCATAAACAATAAATTGTCTGTCAATGTTTCTGTTTCTTGTTTTGGTTCCTCATTTTCAATATAGGAAAATACCATATAAACAAATTTATGTGTTTTGTTTTGTTTTCAAAATTTATATACACTTTTGAGAATATTTTTAAAAAATGAGAAACTAAAAACATAAATAACTGTCAAATACTAAGATTTCTTAATAAAATTGGAAATGATAAAACAAGAAAACTGAAAAGTTACCAAACTGAATTCGAACTCGCAACTTTATGGTTGGAGGTATATGCCAATTACCGCTAAGCTATACTCGCTTTGGCTGATAGATTTTGAAGTTAATAAGCAGAAGGTATCAGTATTAATTGAATCCTCTTTGATATTTTGATATATATTTTCCTCACAAGTCCAACTGTACGTGATTTTGATGATCTACCTAATATGTTCCTCCATTTATACTTTTTTATTTTTTTTTTTGCAAATTATGATATATTATTAATACTTCAATTAAGGTATAATGAATATTATTGATGTTGTAGTATTTATTATTGGATGCACTGAAAAAAAAATAATGAGTTCGTTCTTTGAATTTGTTATTTTAAACTACTTGTAATGTATCCCAACTATTTTTTCCTTTAATAAAAGGATGGATAGTTTTCCTTGTTTTTTTTTATACAAGCGCATAAAAATAAATTTGAGAATCATAGCGTCTTGTTTTTTCTTTAATATCCGTGAGTGTCTAAATGTTTGATCGACAAGGAAACAATAAGAAATTAATTCTGACTTTACTATATTTGATTGACAAAGAAACACATAAGAAACTAATTCTTAGATAATTTTTTTTTTTTTTTTGACAAAGTCCTGGATAAATGGTTCATCATGTGAAACCATTCCTTTTAAATTCTTTTGATTTACCTTGGCCCTTTTGGATCAATAAATTTGATTAGATTTTAAAGAAGGTATTATAAAGTAGTTGCAAAGTACTCCATTGTTTTTTAATATATATCTATTAACTCATTTATTATATCTATAACATCAGCTTCTACAATTACTGAACTAGGGGATCAAGCCATCGATTTTTTAAATGGCAAAAAATGTCTTATCTACTTGACCTAGGCTCGTAATTAAAAATAAATAAACATAGGTTAAATTATTTATTTATTTCTTATTGGGTTGAGTTTATATTTTCAAATTATCTACGTATACTTTTAAATGTTGTATTATATATTGTTTTTATTTGTTAATTAAAGTCTACCAAAAATCTTAAAACATGGGTTATATAATTTAACGTAACAAGTTGCATATATATAGACATGACATAAATTCCTATTCAAAATTGATAATCGTAGTATTGTATTCGTTTATTCCCTTTTTATTTTTTGATGGACAAATAAAGTTCTAAGACGGACATAAAAATCAAGTATTATTTATTAGTTTTGAACTCAACTAAGATTAAGATTGAATAGGTTTAATTTGGAAATAAAATTGCATAGGTTGAATTTAATGTTGATCAGGAAAAATGGGGCCCGGTGCCATTGACTAAAGTCAAAGCCCACGATATCTGTCTCCCCCTAAATCTGCGGGTGCACTGCTAATGATAAATCGGCCCCTAATCTTATCTAATCACCATGCTAATTCATTTTATTACTTTTAGCATCAACTATCCTGTATTTTTCCAAGTCATTAATTACTTATAACTTATCTTCAAAAAAAAATTTATAATTTAATAAATATTTGATTCCAACATTTCAAAAAAGAATAGACAACCTAATTTTTACCATTCATGAACTAAGGGTTAAATAAATCTAAATTTTTATAAGTATTATTTTATATTTTTTTCATGCTATATATGTCTTATTTTTAATGTTTGGGTATTTTTCATAATTAAGACCATATATATGTTCTATCTCTAAGTATTTATTCAAATGATTTCTTATATGGTGTCTCACATTTTAATATTTTTTTTAATTATACAAATATTGATATGATTTGAGAATAGACTTATATCACATAATACTTAATGAAACGTGATGGAAAGTGTAGACAAGTTAAGGGTGGAGAGCGAGGTTTAGAAAGTTGCCCAAAGAAGAGGGTACATGGAAGGTGCACTGCAAGAATGAAGAAACATCCCCACAGCCCCATCCATTCTTGCACTTGCAGGGCTAACTTACTTACAAACACAAACACTTGAAATTAAATTGATACATATAATATATAGTTTTTTGTTTCTTTCCTTGGCTTGCTCACTCTAATAATTGGGTTTAAAACTATTATCCAAACTTAGTAATTAAATTGTTATTTTTAATTCCCGCCCCTATTAGGATATTGAATTAGATAACCTTCCATCAATTATATTTTAAAATTCATAGCTAGAGATAGAACCAAAAATTAAAGAATTTATGCCACGTAGAGTTAATTGAAGTTTTTAAAAGATAAAAGTAAGTATATTAAGACAAAAAGATGTATCGTTAAATTGTTTAACCTATCATATTTTAGACTCAATTTTCATTTCGTTATTTATAAAATTCATTTCTTCCCGTTTTAGAAAAATATTATTTTAATAATAAATCAATTTTCTGTCAACAAATTTCAATAGATATTTTGATAGAAGGATTTAATTAATTTTTTAATATATTAAGAGTAAAATTGAAAAATTAGTGGCTAAATTAAAAATTGATTCCGAAGCTATGTCTTTCTCACGTTGCCATGCACAGGGTCTCAGTCCTCTTCAAGAATGGAAGGCTGGAAGCTTAGTTTGTTCAACAAGGACATTCTCTGTTCTTCTCATACATTAACAAATAAATAAATAAATAAATTTCTTTTTCTTTTATTTGCTGTGGATGATCTCCACAAAGAGTAGTCGTGCATCTTTTTATGCAAAAAGCTGCGACCTTAGAAAATGGTGGTTTTAAAATACCAATTTTCTTGAAGGGATATATAGTTTTAAAATTAAAATAATTCTACAAAAGTATGTGGTAAGAATGCCACCGTGAAAAGAAAATTACATGGTTACTTATTTCATTATCATCCATGAATACTGGAGGTATACTTTATGGTTTTAAAACACCAATTTTGTTTGTGTACTCCATAATCCTCTTTGAAGACGTATTTAAAATATTAGATAAATTTTAAAAACTTAGAAAACCTAGTTTGTTTTTTTTTAAATAAATAAATACGTACATAATTATTGATTATTAAAGAGGGTTTTATATACATTAGGAGTAGGATATGAACAGAAATGTAGAAAATGAGTGAAAAGCAATAATCTTTCGTTGTTGAGGAGCCTAAGTATTTTCCATTTTTTACTCTCCCTACCACTTGGTACTTGAATTTAAAGGTATAACACAAATTTGATTATTTTTTATTGTCTTTATCATTTATCGTTTTTTCTCAATCTTCTAATAAAGTACTAACATTCAACAATAGTTTAATTGTGGGAAAGACGTTTCATAATCGAGAAAAAAGCATGACTAATTCAATTAATTTCGACTTGCTCAATTTTGTTGAAGTATTATTGAAAGTAGACAGTGTTGGAATTCAATATTAATGAGAGGGGAGAGAGAGAGATGGTGAGACGAGGTTGTGTTTGTCTGTTTTGAAAGGGATACTAATACTGCAGTCTGCATTGCAATTTTCATTTACTCTACGAATTGACCACTCACTCTTGATTTCATTTTGCACTGCCACGCCACATTCTTTTAAACTCAGCAACAGGAAACCAACTTAATAACATATTTTCATACCTATTGCTAAGGTATATATTGAAATCATAAAATACAAGTATCGTTGTTTATCTTTCTCTACATATGCAGGACTCGATCAGCCAATCTAGCGATCATGATCCGCCTGAAGTTTCCTCCACACCATGCACCATGCACCATGGGAACCTAAACGATTAAACAATACTCGATACATATATCTTTACCTCAAAACCCAAAAAATAAAGGGGAAAAATGGTAATCCCAGCATGGCCTGCGACTGCAACATTAGTTGCTCCAATGTCTCTTTGCCATCTTTATAACAGATGCATACAACAACTCGTTCCATGTATCGGGTACCCCCGGCAAGCACCAATGGCTGCAATCTTGAACTCGCACACCTGCACGTCTCTCTGCCTCCGTCTTGTACTCCATTCTATAAATTGCAGGGTGTGCATCCTTCCGATAATGTGTGAGCCTGGTGATGTTCAAGTACGACACTGGCGTTTTCATCTCCTGCATCACATACTCCAGAGCCCTCATTTTCTTAGGGTACTTTCCCAAGTGTGTTTCGTTATAAATTGGTTCCGTCTCATTGTGGCATTGCCCTCCAGAGTTCCACTGACCACCACTGCATAACATAATCCAATACAATTCTTCATCCATACTATTCATACACCTCCTCTTTACTCTTTTCAATAATCACCTTTATCACCAACATAATAAATGCATTTTATAGTTGTAGCATGTTCTCAGATTCTAGGATCCTCACAAATGTAGCACGATCAAAGAATGACACTAAATTTAAACTTGCTAAATGTTCTCCCTTGACATTATGAGGAGTCGGCAAATCTAATGATACTCGGGTTGTAACCAAGAAAGGGGGAGAAATTCTGGTACCTGAAATGAGAGTATGAATACCCTCTGAAGAAAACCAGAGTTCGGTTTTTATCAACATTGTTGTCAATCCATCGACCCCAAGTGGTGAGAGCCCTCTTAAACGCTTCCAGCACCTTGAGTCTTGGGTGCACATGGTTGCCTTCTTGGTAATAGTCTTCTCTGAGAGAGGAGAGGAAGAAAAACACAAAAACAACTTCAATATTTGATAACAGCTACAGAATCTGATGCAACAAGTTATCATGGGATGGTATAATGCAAGGCGATTCAGGGTAATATAAGGCAATTTTCTCTCAATAAAAATCCAGCACAAAGTCCCCGAGAGGTTTGATTGAATCAAAACAATAAGTGTATAATACCAACCCCCTCGATGTTTTCTCATGAGTCCACCAGTGGCCTGTATTGAAGACCAAAACATCGGAATCCCGATACATTTCCGTGGTTGGGTCCATTTGATCAAGTCTTAATGTCTCGATGGTTCCATTCCTTCTTTTGAATGTAGATTCCTTAACAAGGAACGGAGAACTGACAAAATCCACGGAACAATTATAGTCCTGCGGATACAACAAAATGAAAGTTCTGTTGAAAACATTACGAAAAAGGAAAAACAGACGTAGATTGAAACTTTGAACTCTGAAGAATAAACATGAAGGAAATCTTGCCTCAAACCGGAAGGCGTAGAAACCTTTCTTCTTGAACTCTGTCCTCCCAGATATCTCGTATACTCTTTTCTTATCGCTAATACTATGATGAAGAATACAAACCAGAGACTCCCACATATTCCTATTCAGTGAATCCCCAATAAACACCAGACTCTTTCCCCTCAACATCTCTAGAAAATGTGTTGCGTTCAGACTGAAAGCAGCAGACATCAAAATTAGGAGAAAGGTTTGTAATCTCAAATGCCTTATGAATCCTGACAAACGTCAAGGAAAAGCAGAGTAATTTTCATTCATTCACGACTAATTCTAGCCAGTAGAACATCAAGCCTAAGCATGAAATTGCAAGTAAGTGAAGGAACAGGGGATCAGGTTAAAGAAATACCTTGGAATGTTACACCCATTTGGCTGCCATTTCCATTTGACATATTCATCGTCTGGTCTCTTATTAAGATGACAATCGAAGTCCCTGTCGATGTATGGGCAAGAACCTGGAGGGTAGTATGGCTTCGAATCATCCCTCACCCATCTTCCATCAAAGATATCACATTCCTCATCAAAACTCGAAGTCGATGTTCCCGGTTGAGAATTGTCAGTAATTTCGACTCTGTCGCTTGAATTTTTCCCACCATTTCCTTCCGACGCCATTTTATCTTCAGCGATGGAAGAATGATTGTTCTCTTTCTGGTATTGAGTGGCATTGTTGTTGAAAGAAGTGGAGTTATTCAGGGATTTCTCTTCGATTATCTTCTCCTCATCCAACTTTCCTTGGCTGGAAATTGTTGCATTTCCAGTAACATTTTTGGATTCAAGCGACAAGCTTGCATTCACAATTTGGGAGCCATTTGGCGCATGGGTGTTGAGTTGAAATGTGGCATTGATAAATGGTTGAGTGTTGCGCGTATGATTGTCCGTTTGAGGAGGAATTGGCGTGGCACTATCATAGCTGCCCAACTTGGAAGAATTAGCGGTTAAATCAGGGAAAGGAGAGGAAAATGAGAAAGACCAGGAATCAAAGAGAGAATCCACGGAAGTGGGACGATTGGAAACAGAGAAGAAATATTTGGCGTTAGAAGAACTATAGAGCAAAAGAAGGCTAAGAACGATGAGGGAGACGCTTATGCCAAGACCAAATCCAGGAACAATTCTTCTCCTAGGCGACAAAATCTGTTCGGAGAATGCAAGTTTCCTGGGGTCCATGGCTAAAATTGGAGCGTACCCAAGGCGAAGGCTTCAGGGAACACGGAAGGAGGGGGCCTTTTATGAACGAGATGGTATGGGAGAAAAAATAGGATTTTTAAGGGATTGGCTCGGCGACCACAAGGACGGGGGAGCTTTGGCCTATGGGGAGTTGGTTTCTATTTTTGAGCGGTTTCGAAAACGGCAAAAAGAGGGAGAGAGAGAAATGTACACATGTATCAGATGGTAAGAATAGGAGGAATAGTCCGTATCTATTAAAAATCTATATAAGATTCCTTCTTTTATCAATTTAGGATCCTTGACACGACCGACTGCGAGAAATGTTGGAAAATTTCTATTTTTCTATAGCTTGCAGTGCCGGGCCTAACCACAGAGAACCCTTATATTATCTTTATACTTATATTTTGTCGTCTTACTTATAATAGATATCTCCAAAGAGTAATAGGCTACATCATTAGCATCGCCAAACCAATAGAACTAGAAGCGAAAACAAAATGATAAATGTCATTGGAGTGAGACATAAACAAAATGCAACACACACACACACAATGAAACGAAACGATGAATCCAAAGTTGGAGGGAGAGAGACATGAGGGTAAAATAATAGTTTCCTTGGAAAAAGCTGATTCCTGCCGGATCGCGGGAACTACAATTCCCGCCGACACATCAGGGGACGCGTGGCGCCATCGCGTATACAATTCGACAATGATGCTTCATGTTTCACCAAAGCAGCATCCCGATCGATTAATGGGTTGGGCCTCCAATCTGGATTCAGGATATTGGGCCTTTTTTGAATTGGACGATCCACAAGCGAACATGGGCCACAAAATCTAATAAACATGCACCTTCTTTCTTCAAGGACTAGAAGAAAGGTCGAGTATTAGTATTATGACTTGTGCAGAATCAGATAGATCTTCGCCGCCACAAGCTCTAAACTTCGGACCCGTAGAATTTCTCAACAAACCAGCTTAGCATTACACTTTCTCTTGTTTCTTTTTACACAACCAATCGCATATTTTCTCTGCAACTTAATGATGTAACTTGTACGAGGGAATTACATAAGAAACATAAACAAAAAGACTCTCATCTGGGCCCCGAAAGCTCCATGGCTTCTACTATCAGAGAAGATTCTTCTATATAATCTGAGTACCGTTGAGGGGGATTCTCGCATGCTCGGTATCTTGGCGTCTCCATGTGCTGTGATGCTTCCCATTTCTCAGCTAAACCATCGCCTTCCAACATTTTTAATACTTCAGACATTTTTGGTCGGTGACAAGGATTGAATTGAGTGCACAAGAGCGCAACCTGAACCATTTCTTCTAACTCAACTCTGTCAAACTTGCCTCTTAAATCCTTATCCACCATTACATTCAGCTTTCCTTCTTGATGCAGCTTTTTCACCTACATTATATTAAACCCAAAAATAAGCTTGTTCGATCAAAACAATGCAACAGCCAAGAGTAGTCCAAACATGCATCTTTCTAGTACTAATAGATTAGTCCATTGAAATTCTGGGAATGGGATGAATTGTCTAAACATAACCTTACAACTTGCTGAATTATCACTAGTATGGTTGCCACGTATGTTATAATAAAAACATGTTACTCACCCAGTCTAGCATCACGCCTTTCTGGTTTGCTCCTCGACCGAAATCCAGAGCCTTCTGACCGGTAATTAACTCCAAAAGCAAGATTCCAAACCCAAAAACATCCGTCTTTTCTGATGACTGTCCTGTTGATAAGTACTCTGGAGCAATATGGCCAACAGTACCACGCACCGCCGTAGTCACATGAGAATCCCTGTGATCCAAAAGTTTGGCCAACCCGAAATCCCCAACAACCGCCTCAAAATCTTCATCAAGGAGAATGTTGGCTGCCTTCACATCACGATGGATAATTTTGGGGTCGCACTGCTCATGCAAGTACACCAATCCTCTAGCTGTACCCAAGGCTATTCTCTTTCTCATTGCCCAATCTAGAGCCGGTTGCCCATGTATATGATCTGATAAACAAAGCATTTAAAATTATGAAACCACCCACAGGCCACAACTTAATTTTCCCTTTTCTAAAACCTAGAAATCTTGCAGCCTTCCAGTTTCATCTCATTTTGAAACTGGGGATTACGGTTTTACCGGACAAGGTCAATAGTAACAAAACTGATAGGTATTGTTATGAAACTTGCAGGTGTTAAATATTCAAGTAAACAACCTCAAGCTATTTGGAACCATGTGAACGTTTAATATCTATCCTGTTTTGGTAATCCCGATGCATTTGATTGATACCCACCACTTAATGCTAAATTAACAAACTAGGAATAATGATCAATAAGGATGGCCATTGTCCATTAAACACGATGAATGAGGTATATTGGTATAATGTGTTTGCAAGTAACGCACCTCTTAGACGAGATGCAACGCTTCCATTGGGCATGAATGGGTAAACCAGAAGTCTTTCACTTTCAGTCGAACAGAAGCCAAAAAGCCTGAGAAGGTTTCGATGTACAGCTAAGCTTATCATTTCTACTTCAGTCTGAAATTGGATCTCCCCACCAGCGGTGTTATAATCCTTCAACCTTTTAACCGCTACCAGAGTCCCATCATTTAAGCATCCCTTGTACACAATTCCAAAACCACCTCTTCCCAAGATATTCTTTGAGTTGAAATGATCCGTTGCTGCCCGAAGTTCCTTGAATGTGTACCTTCTCAAATGACCCAAACGTACCTCTGGGTCATATTGATCTGTTCCGTTTAACGTTTATATTAGTCCAAGAACACTGGTCAAACATGTTACACGAGAGGCATACAAAATATTACCTCATTCCTCACAAGGCAAAACGCCATGAGATGAGCAAGGAGAAAGGGTAGATGGAGGAAACTTACCATTTACATCAAAGAAAATCTGCTGGTTGTGTCTGTATCTCCACCAGATAACTAGCCCAATAAGGACTAATACAATAAAAGCAGCACTAAAACTTGCTCCAAAAGCAATTGCCTTTCGGTGGCTCTTACCAAATCCCAAATTTCCTGAGAAACAAGATCCCCAGAAATCAAAAACCTGTCATGATATGTAAAGGTAACAAATAAAATATACATATATACACAAATACAAGTCATCAGACCCACACCATCGAGAGCATCTGAGGAAAAGGACAGCGGCTCTGGAAAGATGGCAGAGCAGTTGTTTGGGCCACATATCAAAGGGTTGCCAACAATTCTGAACCAAAGAAACGGTATGTAAGATTTTGAACATTTTATACCGGATTCAGATGATACGTGTTGCAAATACCAGAAAGAAAATTACTCACTTGAATGTTCTTGCTGATATTTTGGGCAAGGAGCCACTCAAGTTGTTATAGGAAAGGTCCCTGTTAGTTCAAATAAAAACGTGAATATATATTTCTTCCAAATAGCATTAAATGGATGTAAACACGAAATAGAAAGGCAGGATTTAAAGGTAAAAGAACATACACGAGTGTGAGACCTTGAACTTTGGATAGAGTCTCGGGACAAGGTCCAGTTAGGCTGTTGTTATTTAGTCGCCTGTCTTGCTCAAAAGATAATGTGCAGTTGACAAAGATCAGAATGAATTCTTCAATGTAGCAGAAAGATAACGCTTACAAAACTTACAAATAGTTCAGCTTCTTTAAGTCCCCTAGGGAACTGGGTATTTCACCGCTAAATACATTGTTGGAGAGATCAAGAGTCTGAAGATTCTCTAACTTTCCGATGGTTGCAGGAATTGGCCCTGCAATGTCATTGTTCTGAAGCAACCTACACATATTTGTGACAACACAACACAAGGAATTCTTTTCACTAGATTGAAAATTTACAGAAGTATTGTCAACTTAAAATTGGAGAAATGCAGAAACTGAACAATCAATGTGCAGAAACCAGGGGTTTGTGAGAAGGATGGAGAAACTTACACTGATTCCAGCTTACTGAGGTTTCCTATCCCCGGTGATAAGACGCCAGACAAACTCTGGCTTGGTAGGCCCCTGTTTATAAAATTGAGGATCAACAATCCAAATTAATTAATTAATGTTCTAATAAGTGGTCGAGTCTATGAAACATTGTGCAAAAACTAGACGAGGGATTTAGAGAACACTTACAAAGCAGAAACATATCCGTCTGGAGAACAAGTGACCATTCTCCAGCTACAAGGATCCACAGAGTTAGAATCCCAATTCTCCAGAACATTATGGGGATCTATTAAATCACTTTTTATGGCCATCAAAGCTACGACTGCAGAAATTTCCAGAAGAAATAAAATGTAAGTTCATCTCCTGACTGAGAATTTTCAATTGAAAAAGGAATTGTAAGGCCTAGCGCAGACCCAGTGAAGAGGCAAAAGTAGGTGAGATAGGAAAGAGTAAATCGACGGATGAAGTCATTAACTCTTTGTATTTTTTCAGCAGAATACAAAGTAGTTGAATCAAACTTGCTGAATGAGAAGTTAGATTGAAACGATGTGGTTCATACTTGAGATTGAGAAAGACAAAGTAGAATGGAGGGAGGCGGAGCAAGGAATGAAAGAGAGACTAACCTTCGTAGTTTACACCAGAAGGGGAAAGTGTAGCGGAAGCAAGTTCCAGGAGCGCCAAAACTAGAAGAGCCGCTTTGGAGAGCAAACTCAGAGAAAGCGTTTCCATAATCTATTTTGTGTTGGGTTGATTATCAGTTCATGGTGTCCCATGTAGCAGAGAAGGCATTCTCCAGATAGGGCGCCAGTTGTCGGCGAAACCCCAACCTGTAAGCCGTGGGGAACTGTCCTCGGTTGCGTTATTAGAGATTGAATTTGATCAGATGAGGTAAGAGGAAGAGAATTGTAAGTGTGAGATGGTATCCTGTGGGAGAGATCTGAGAATGGGGAATGTGATAAATTCGAATTCGAATCCCCACAAAATCATCTTCTTCCTTGTTGTTGTTGCAAAAACATTTTAGAATATATGTAGCGTAGCAGAAAGGCGTTGGTTGAGTAGCGTAGCGTCCGCAGGAGCAGAAAGAAACAGGCGAGGGTGGAGCGAGCCAGAAAGCAAAGCAAAGCAAAGTTAGAAATGAATATTTTCTTCGAAAAGAGAAAGAAGAGACGCAGCTTTTTGGAAAAGGGAGACGAAGAAAGAAAGAGGGTTTTGAGAAAAGAGAGGATTGGAGTGAAGGACGTGGGGGTGGGGGTGGGAGTGAGGGGTGTCCATCCATGCCTCATGCCAATGCCAAAAGGAAAACAGTGCAGGCGACTCGTTTGGCAGGTCACGTGCTCGGATTGTCTTTCTTTTCGTTGGCTTCTGCCTCCTCCCAGTCCCCACTCCCCAGTCCCCAGTCCCCACTCTCATCTCTTTCCATTTCATTTTGGACTCACCCTCTCCATATTTCTTTTTAATTTCATTTCTACATTTTTTTTTATTCTAACAACTATATAAAAATGGTAATACATGCCTTTTTTTTTTAAATATGCTTATCACAATTTAATTAGAGTTATAAAATAAAATTCACGTGTCGGGACTGGGACTGGGACTGGGAGTGGGAGAAAAATACAGTTAAAATGGAGAATATTGGTACAGGGCCCACACTACAGCTATTGACATGGCCTAGCCTCTAGGGACGGAATGGAATGGGGTAATCAGGCAACCCTTTGTCTCTCTCTTGCTTTGCATTCTCTTCAATGTACAAAATAATAATACATTTTATTTTTCTTGTTTTTGGTGGAATTAATAAAGATATATATATATTTTAAAGGAAAAATAAATTAGTTAATTAAAAAGTGAGAGGCACTGTGGTGTGCGTGCGAGTCTTTGTTATTCTCTGGAGTTGGTTGGTTGGATGCTGTGATGGGAATCTCTATTCTCTATGATATG